AATTAGAGTTCCATGACCTTCCGTTCACCTTCAACCTTTGAGCTGTGACCCTCAAAAATCCACGAGGTAATTATAATGGCAATTTTCCATTTTAATGTTTTATTGGGGGACCATTCTATGCCGCATTGATTGGTAGACTTATAGTTTTTTTATTTAAATATATTTTTTTTTGGCAATGCAACTTATTTAATGAATTGAACTCATTATATTTAGTAAATGGGTTAAAACTTGGGAATTGAAATGTACAATTTCATATCCCAAGTGGCATAATTTCAATGGGGATTTAAGGGTAATTTATTTACTCATTGGTGCTTTCTTTAGGGTCTTATGGTACGGTTTTATGCTACCGTTTTCGATAACGCAACTCAGTGGATGTTTTGATGGTATGCAGTACCCACCACTGTATCTGAATAGCAAAGACTCGGCGAACTAGTTTTCATTGATGAGATAGATCATCTGGTACGAGTGTGAAATCCCAGACCCATTGTTAATTGTCGGCATAAAGCTAAGTAGTTTAGTGTAATTTTTTTTAATTACTTAAAAATATCGTATATGGCTTAGGTAACTTTAGTTACTCACATTTAAGTAAACATTTGACCCCATTTATTTGCGGAGTGATCACTGGCGCTGGGTGTGTGTTAATTCGCACTTATTGGTTATTTTAGTTTTAAGTATAGCTCTCTGCTTACATAGGTATTCATACATATCAATACCGACAGACAGTTTTCTTAAATCTGACTATGAGGAAGCCTTTAGGTTCTTTAGTCCTGCTAGTCGTCATACTAGCCTCTGAATACTTGTCATAATCATTATTTAATCACCATAACTTGTACTAAATCAATACTTAATATTCAATAAATACTGATTTTGTTGTATTGCCAATTACCTGCTTTCTTTGTCTTTTTGCTTATCCAATTATTTTCTTACATTTCAGGCATAATAATTTGGTTTGTACTTTAGTTCAACCTGCAGTCATCGCAGGACTTTTCCGATTTAGTTTCCAAAGTTGGTGGCGCACGAATCCACGAACCGGGCACGTGGACACTTTAACAAACTCTGTTGAACTAAGGTCGCAATCCAAATAAGGTTACATTTTGGTAATTGATTTTTCTTACGTAAAATAAAAGTGTTACAAGGCATCCAATTGTATAGAAAAATATACTGATTTATTTTTTAATACTCCTATTACGTCTTCTAGCATTTTAGGCGCTAATACATTTATAATTATAGCTTCAGCCTTCGTTCTTCCACAGGATATTTTTAGCATAATTTTGGAATCAGGAACTGCTTTACAACATAATTTCAACCCACAATCCAAAGAGTTGTACGATAAATTGTGTTTGCAGCAGTGGTAAACATTAGCGACTTCAAACGCTGTCACAATGCGCTCTTCAGGAGATTTTTTTTGACAGAAAAATTTTGTTAATAATGTTGACAAAGAACTGCTTCGCATTTTGATTTTGTGGCTATCTGAAATCTCATGAGTAGTAACAGCTGAAAAGCCTTTATATGCAACTGTAAAAGATTTGTTGCAAATTTTACAGTATGCATCCCCATTGATACATTTTAACCACGACCGAGAAGTCTCCCATGATGTTTTATAAGCTTGCATACGTTTTCCTTTTTTTTTAGGTGGTGTATTTAGTTTTGATCCTTCATTTTCGTTGTCAGTATCAGAGTTTTCCGACATTTTTAGTTCCTGACGAACCCAATCGTACTTAAATTAAAAAGAATTTTTCAATTTTCATGAAAATAAAAAGTCAAACAACTATACTTACCTAACTTACCAAACCAACTATAATCGATTTTTGTACGTACACGCACTCTTTAAAGTTTGTGTGAATGTAGACAATGTAGCAGAGGGCGCGAAAATACGGAAAAATGCAAATGCATACAACAAAAAACACTACCCGTGCTCGACGCGAATCAAACGGAAAATAGAAATAGCCCTCATCATAGCCGATTACGTTGCGTGGCGGGGGCGACTGGCGTCTGGCGAGTGGAGCACGATGTTGCTGCGTTGCCAAGTTGTGTGCCGTTAATAGAATATTAGGATTTTTTATACAGTATTTTCCTTTTTTTTTGGGGATTTTAGAACATTGTGGAGAAAAGGACTAAGGAGGACAAATTGCGTCCTCCGCAGTAGCTGCGGAGGACGGAGGATATTTTGGTTCAAAGGAGGACTGTCCTCCCGGCCGGAGGACGGTTGGCAACCCTACCACCAGTTGCTGGGGCAGACATGTTTCAGCAAGTATTTGACCGTTTTGTGTTGCAAAAAATTTGCTACATTGTCACATTTCAAAAATATTAATTTTAAGAAAAAAATATACATGTCTGTGTAAAGTTCTCCGCAAGTTGCAATGTCACACCATCCTACGGTACCTGCAGAATGTTCAATATTGATTGGCAATGGTCGTCCAGTACCTATTTTTCAAGTCAAGATTGTCGTGTAGACTCAAAAAGCTGAACACGATTTTTTTTATAATTCACTGACCTTTAGATTAGCAAATTAAATTAACAAACTCTCCGAATTCCAATAAAAAACTGATAAAAAACTTAATCCCGAAACAAAACATTGAATAAACCTTGAATAAATGCCGGCAACCGAGGAAAGAGCGAAAATTTCCTGATTCCGGGCGGAACATTTGGAGCCCAATAAACGCACCGCCTAGCGCGATGTTTGGGTGACGTCACACTTTCGTCGCCATGGCAACCCACGTAAATCGTGGCACTAGCCGGGACGCATATTCATTTTTTGCCAACGCAACTGATATTCGGCTAGATTCGTGCCCTGCGCCGTGAAGCGTTAGCAGAATATGAGCATCGCAACCAGACGATGGCACTTCATGTGACTGTATGTTACAAGCATTTTATGATGATGATAATTAGGTTCCATAAATGTTTTTTATTGAAAAGGAAGGGAAGATTAAAGATAAGAATTTTATTTATATGAAAAATTCAGCTGAAACAATGGTATGATATTGTATTAGATAAAACTATCGATGTCTTTGAAACTACCCGATGGACCCTTTATACTAACTATTTTATAGATTGTGAGCGAGAAAAAAAAAATGAAATAATTAAACCCAAAAGGTAGAAATTGAGAAATGTCGAAAATGCAAAATGTCGAAAATATAAAAAGTTCAAAATACAAAAGATCTTTTTTCTCTTTTGGTACTACATATTTATTTTTCTATAAAATAAAAGAATAAAATGAATGTTCAGCTGAACTTTCGGCTGAATTGTGTTTCTGTCGCGTAGGTAACGTCCGAGAAGCCAACTTCAGTGCCTCATATTTATTCAAAATTTAATAATACATACACGCGCTCTATTTTTTATGAGGTTGATAGAAACAGAGATTGGGTCGCATTTTCAGGACGGGACAGTTTGGGTTAATTTGGATAAGGTACTTTTCATGAAAAAAGGAAACAGGAAGGAACAGCGCCTAGTGCGGTTTTTAAACGAAAACTAACCCAAACTAATCAAAAATAACCCATACTATCGAAAACTAACCGAAACTAACTCGTCTGCCAAAAAAGTACTGGGGCATTTAAATAAACACAATTATTAATTTTTAAACTCTTATTAACGGTATTTCCTCATTCGTTATCGCATTTCGCATTGAAACATGTGCCAACAACTAACAATAACTGCCAATTTCCAACTTAATTTATTTAGAGAATATTTTCACGAACGCCAGGCAGGCTCTATAAACTGCCAACGTTAGTCCACTTCAATCATAACCCAAGCAGCAAGCTGACGTCAATTTGACGTCTTTTTTCCGTCATTTTTTTTAGATTAGACGTCATTTTCATTTCCCAAATGACGTGATTAAGACGATAGGATCACGTGATTATGTCACAGCCCAGATGACGTCATTTTATGACGTTAAAATACGTGATTTTATGCCGTTAAAATACGTGTTTTTATGACGTTAAAATACGTAATTCTATGACGTAAAAATACGTGATTTTATTACTTAAAAAGGACGTCGTTAACAATGAGGAAAATTACGTATAATGACGTCATAAATACCTACGGCAGTCATACCTTATTTGGAATATATGGTAGGTAGATTTGACGTTTGTTTGATGGGTGCCTCTTGTAGATCTCCTCTAGAAATTTTATATTTTAAAGCATATATGCAGAAAAACAAAACAGTTTTTGTGAATCGATATAAAAGCAAATCCATATGTAATGATAACACCTACATTAAAAAAACGTTGGTTTGGGAAAATTGAACTTTTTTTGTATGTAAAACCATTTTTTTTCAAAACTCAAACGTATATTAAAAAATAATTCAGGTACCTATCCTAATCGGATATTATGCAATACACAGCCTATAGGTATAATATTGTTTGGTATAATTCAGAAGTTATTACACTATCCAAACACTATTGGTTAGTCTTTACAAGTAAGGTGTGATAAGTAGGTATGTGTCATTGGAAAGGATATAAAGTTATTATTATCAAGAGAAAGTACAATGCATTTACAAATAATATCTTTTAGGCTCCACTTTTCCAAGCTAACACTCAGATTTTCCAATATATATATATTGAATTTACTTGATTCAAATGGGTACGTGTATAAAGGTTTATATTTTGCAAATTTCTTGCCAATAATAAATGTCTCTTTATTACTCGAATTTACTAAAATATTATTTATCTGAACGACTTTATCATTTTTCACAAGACAGTATGAATCAGAAAGACTATGGGCAAAAATACAAAGTATGAAATCTTGAAATATAATTTTTTTAAACTGTTTGTAAATTGAATTATATGATCCTGCATTATGCGAGAGTGAATATTGAATTTCTTTGTCGAATTGCAAATCTTCATTCAATGACTCAATTTCATGAAGACGGCGAAAAACTTGTTGCAAGGGTTTATTTGGCGACCTTATAAGGATTTTCAATTGACCTAGATAAGACTCAAATACAAAAGCTGAAAACGAATCAAGCGGTCCAAATTGCTCTACATCGTCACTCAAATGACACATCACATGAATATTGTATATAAAAAACTGTTTTTTTTCTGAAGAACATTCAATATTTGCGAGTTCTGTTCTCGAACTTCATAGAGAACCTGGAGGATTTTTTCATTTAATTCTGAAATATAAGTGATTTTCGGGAAAAAATTCTTTAATTTAAAAATGTATTACACACCTGGAAGAGGTTGACGACGCCCAGGGGTTGAAATTCCTTGCGGGGTACTCTCTCCAACAGAGCTTCTTGGAATCCTTTCAGGATTGCTATCAGAGCAGGTACCTTCTAAAACAATAGAATAAATCTACATCGTGATATTAATAGTAATATATATTTTTTTTTATGGTTGGCACACACACAAAAGGGAAATCCTATAACACTCGTCGAGCGTAATAATAATAATAATTATAATAATAATAATAATAATAATATAATAATCAAATAATAATCTAGGATAAAAATCAGAATTTTTCAAAAAAAAATCAACTTAGCATATCATAAAAATATGATAATTATTATTATATTTCTTGTTGGACTTTTTAGCGACTAACCGTTTTTTAACCGTTAAGCTGTGACAGTTAATGGATTATTTAAACTCACTGTATGTGTAACTACTTACATTAATCAATAGAAAGTGGATGAATGATACGCATATTATTAAATAGTCATGGAAAAAAAAAATTAGGTACATTTGAAAAATCTCAATTAAAATAAGTAGTATATGTAAATGAAAGAATAATAAATAAGCTGCAGCCTACCAGTTAAAGTTGAAGTCAATATCCTCTCAGAAACGTTATTTCTGGGAGAATTGAGAGGCAATAATCTACTATTATTGCAGCGGGAACTACCTGGAATAACCTTCAAGGGTTGATGTTCATCGGAGTTAGATGGTCTTGATAATTTATCCATCAAACGATTCTCTGAAAAAAAAATGTATGTCCTCAATTTTGAAGTACTTAGGTACAAGGCAAACTATAATGGAAAATACAAGTTGACCTGATAAATTATTTGTTGGAAATGAAAACATTTCCGATTTAATCGAAGGGTCGCATTTTGCGAATAGTTTAAATAATGTGTTTTTTTTAATTCATATTTCAATGGAATTACTTAAATGGGTAGGTACCTTGAAGGATTATTTTTGGAGGCCTTTCTATAAACAACTTTTTCTTTTTTTGCTGAAAAGAAGCATCATCGGACTCGTCGCTGATGCTTGTATCTATTTTTTTGGCCCTCTTCCGCCTCCTTGCCTTTGTGGATTCCTCTTCTTCAGTTTCCAAGTTCGAGGTATCCTCTGCCTCTCGACATTTTCGTTGAGCTTTTTCATAATCGTCTAGAATATCCAATAGTTTTGTTATACAGAGGTTGACACAAGAAATAGGCACAGCCTCTAACTTTTTTTAATAAATTTAAGTTGGAAATTTGGACAACTTTTTCAGTTTTTTGAAACAAAATTTTGTTACAAGCGAGGTTACAAGTCACTTTTGGTATTTTTTTGGAATCAGTGGATAGTGGATTATTTTACTTATGACAGGACAATTATTGTTGAAAGTTATTTGTACACGATGTTCCAACGAGGAACAGGGGCTTATTTTTGATCTACCCTGTATTTTTGAAAAAGATCAAAATAGCCAATTGGGATATCAAAAAATTAGGAGAAAAGTTAATAAGGACTGACCTGGATACATTTAAAAAAAATGGAAATTTCAAATTTTTCTGATTAGATAAGTAATCCAACAAAATCAATTCACACAAACGCTGAATTTTTTTTTCTAAAAGCTCAAAACTACTGTTCAAATATGTAAAATGATTCGCTGATTCCCAAATAGTCAAAAAATACCGGGTGTTCGATTTGAAAATCTAAAGGTATAACCATTTTTGAGGTAAACCTGAAAAGACTTTGTTTCGCAATTGATTTCAAGAAACTGAAAAATTGCCTCAGTCGAGGCCTCAGTTAAGCTGCCCAAATTTCTTTCCAATTAATTTATAAAAAAAGGGATAGGCTGTACTCTATTGCTTATGGCATGCTATGATTTTAAAGAAAAAAAAGAGGAGTCCGAAATAAGTGCGCATTTTGTTATGGTAGATAGAACGCAGCAAAACAATCACTTTTTACTTAGGAACATGTGTCCGCAAACGTCTCGTTAAGAAAACACAGTGTCGAAATTTTCAAAAAATTTTGACTTTTTGCCTTAGGTTCAAAATGCCTTTAGCGATTTCGTCCAAATTTTTAGAGGTTGTTTGTGCTGTTCTCAAGCATCTTTCTAAAAAATCCTTTCAAGTTTCACTTTTCCAAGACCGGATTTAGAGCAACTCCCAAGACAACTCCTATTTAAAAAAAAAGTGGTACGCCCCTGGTTTTTTTGGCGAATCTAAAACTATTTCTTGATTTCTTGTTTAAGTTTAAACAAAAAAGGTATCCCAAGTTTTCCTTGTGCAATGCGACATTAACGAGATAAAAAGTAAAAATCAATGTATTGTTTGGAAAATTTATTTTAATTGAAACTAGGAAAATGGTAAATCAATCAATTTCATAATAAATGCTAAAAAAGCTGGATTTTTTAGAAAGATGCTCGAGAAAATCGCAAACACTCTCTGAAAATTTGAACAAAATCGGTCAAGGCATTTTGAATCTAAAGGCAAAAAGTCAAAATCTTTCGAAAATTTCAACACTCTGTACTCTCTTAACGAGACGTTTGCGGACACATGTACCTATGTAAAAAGTGATTGTCCTACTGTACTCTTTCTAACAACAAAATGCGAACTTATTTCAGACACTCTGTAGATATTTCTTAATTTTTTTAATTTTTAAATTGAAAAATGTGAATCTCAACTCACCAGTCTCGTACATTACCCTCTTAATACCATGTAGGGCCCAATCATCTTCAATGACTGGATCGTTTTCCCTTATTATTTTATTGAATAAATTCAGTGCCTTGCAAGGAGGCCAAAAGGCTTCTTTTTTTTTTGGCGTCAACCAAGCCTTGTTAATTACTGACAAACCTCCTCCGTCTACCCATTCTACCACCATATAGGCCATTGTACAAACCCCTCGACAAATCCTAAACCAATAAAATTATTGATCATGTAATGATAATTACCTACCAACCGGTAGCTAATTTGAAAAAATATACCTATGTACCTAATGCTTTTGAAAAAAAAGTCTTCACTCGAAATTGTCTTGTGTGAAAGTGAAACTACCTAATTCAAAGGCTTGAAGTCAATTCTTGTATGACTGGCTTGTGAAGCCCTTCATTCTCAATGACAGAGCTTGTGGTTTTGGAAATGTTTTATAGGATTTTTAAGGCTTTAGCAGCTATTTTTAGTGTTTTGAAATACCAAATGGACTTTCCAAACCCTCATTCTATCATTACCTAGCTATATTTCAATACATAACTTCAAAAAAAAATATAAACCTATTTTTAAATTCAATAAAGTGGGGGTGGCGCCCCAAAGTTGACTACTTTTGAAAAAACATGCTTCTGCAAAACAATTTTTTTCGTCAATACAAATGCGAATCGACCTGAAGAAAACCTGCAGCCATTGGCGGATTTACCCATACGCTAACTACGCTGCAGCGTAGGGCCCCGGGCAGCGTAGGGCCCCGGGCAGCCTGGGGCCCCGCAGGGGCCCTTCCCACATGTCAAGAATATATACTCCAAATTCCAGAAAATATGTTAAGTTAATTAAAATCTTACCCTTAGCCCCCCAGTAATAATTATAATAAATTAAAAACCAGAAAACTAAATTATCAAAAATAAATATAGAACTGTTATGAAAAAAGATCGCAATTTTTGGGAATACTTTCAATTGAAAGTGATTTCACTGCAAATTTGAATTACGATGAGGCGATAAGGGAATTTGCCGATATTAAAATTAGAAAAAAAAATGTTTTTGCGATTTTCGGTTGTTTACTATGTTCTAGTTATGATTTTTTTCTGTTCTACTTTTAGAACTTCGTTTTGATTTTGTTTTAATTTATCAATTAATTCAAAAATGAAAATATTTGTTTCATTTTGTCCTTTGTATTAAAAAAAATAGGGGGTAGGGGCCAAAAAACTTATGTAGCATAGGGCCCCATAAATCGTAAATCCGCCACTGCCTGCAGCTATTTTTATTCCCTAAAAAACACACATCAAAATAATCTGACCTGACAAAATTGATAATCAACTGAATAACTTTAAACTTATCGCAATATTCAATCATTGGAAGTTTCAATCCGTAATGAAAAGCAGCCATTTTGTTGTGAAAATCCCAGGCCAAAATTTAACCCAACTTAATTTTCACTATAACGAATATTGAAATACATATACCTCGTATTGTGTTGTGAATATAAAATAATTATTAACATTGATGAAATTAATAAAGAAATCTGATAGGAAACTTACCTTTTTCTATTTTATTCCCAAACCAAAGATGCAAAGGACAAAGGAAGGACACAACATAAATCACTCACGCTACGGCCACGGCCACGCTGCGATCTAGACTGGTACTGACTTGTGAGTGTGCGACGACTGCGCGACGAGTGCGACGCGACGTGCGTGGCGCGTGCCTGTTCCAGTCAGTGCCACTTGGACTAGACAGAGACGGAGAGATAGTTGCATGTTGCATTATATGGTTGCATTGTTCTATTCGTTCTAGAGATACGACGTCTGAAAAAGGCAGAGTGTGAAAATGTCGAAAAAAATTACGTAAAAACGACGTGCCACGTGCCTGAAAAATGTAATATAAGTTGAAGTCGATATTGAAAATTAATAAATAAGGACGGCATTGCGAACGGTATGAATTATTTATAGTTCTTTAATAGAAAAAAAAAAAAAGATTTAAAATTTCAAATGTCGGAAAAATCTCGTGAAAACGACGTATTCTTTATGACGTCTAGAACACGTCGTGAAAATCACGTGATGAGTCACGTCATTTATTGGTAGATTGACGTCCCAGACCATAAATGACGAAAAAAATACGTCAAATTGACGTCAGGTTGCTGCTTGGGCTGTTAGTTGAGGGTTGTTGGCCTTCCTTTATCCAATTTTCTTGCTCTTTCTTTCTGTTCCAAACCGTTCCTTGTTGACTTTGGAGCAGAACGAGTTTATCTGACGGCCGTTCCCATATTACATTAGTTGTATTCCTTTCACACCTAGGAGGAGCTCCGGAACAGCTCCGGGGCTTCACGCGCTTATTCCTTTCGAAAAGTGTTTGTTGCAACACGCATCTGTGCCCTGCAAATCGGGAGCAACTGAACACCGGAGCGAGTAGCTCGAGTGTTTCAAACTCATGAAAGGAATACAACTATTGCGGAGCATCCGGAGCAAATGTTTTTCCACCGGATTTAGGGCCAAATTTATAGTCGCTCCTTGAGGTTCCCTCAGACCTTAAGGAAGCATTGAACGTTTAGATTTGCCATGAATAACTTGTAAAATAATAGCAAGTGTCCATTCTAAACTCACGACCTTCATGGAAGAGCCAAGGAACAACTATAAATTCGGCCCTTAAGCCTTGTACTCATAACTGCGGAATTCGCATTTTTTTGACATTGCTTCGACAATTTGACGTTTGATTCACGCATAAAACGTCAAATTGTCGAAGCAATGTCAAAAAACAGCGAATTTCGCAGTTATGAGTACTAGGCTTTAAAAGAAATCTCGCGAATTTCTTAAGTAAATGTCAATAGCGCTTTTGAATTCAGAACAAAAAAATTATGATTACAAAAATAATCTGTAATCTGTGTAATCGGGATTGAGCGATCGTTTGTACCTATTTGTTTTTTTATTTGACTTTGCGCCCTGCTCAGTTCGTAATTTGCGTAATTTGTATGTTGTTTATTAATATGATGACAGATCACAGGATTGCGAGCGTAATTTCACAAACCGTTCCATTATTCAAGTCTTCCTCCCCTTGCTCTGGGTTCACGT